CCACACCCACACCCACGCCCACACCCACACACAGCCACCCTATACTTCATCAAATGGCTCCTCTTTAGTATGCACACTTTGCTTTTTTCCAACGTCAACATTTTGAGGCAAACCGATCGGAGAAATTTCAACAGGTTCATCATTAGTAACCTGACATGTGTATGAATCAAATGATTGTAAAGTAACGTTTCGATTATTATCATCATCGGATTTCAACACTATTGATTTACTCGTCTTTTAAGTAGATGAAGAAAAAAAAAGAATCGACAGCTTTTCTTTTTTTTGTCCATCAATCAACATTATGCTCTGTACAGAAGTTTAAGATTATGATTTATTCATGAGTATGCAAAAATGTTCACTATTCACGATTTGTAATTAAATTAAACCCTATTTAGTCCATGTAGCTTTTTGAAGATATCAACGTCACTGAGTTTACACTGATTGCTATATATCTGTTTTTTGCAAGTGTCAAAAAACCTGAAAAAATGAGCGAATATTGATTATCTCCTTTTATTCTAGTATCGTGAGGTCAAAATGAAATATTTTATTTTTCAAATGATTTATGTATCACTTACTAAAACTCAAAATAGAATTTTTCGTAGAGCGGGCTGAGCCCCCTCTAGCTCCCCCCTGGATATGCCACTAATATTTTCTATGCTTTCATTCTCGTTGATAGACCAATAGACAAACGTATACTTTTAATGTAAATGATGCGATTTTTGATAGGAAGAAATATAATAAAGCGTAGCCGCATCAGCTCTAACTCTTTTTCTATCCAAGAATCGTGATATCTATGTGATGTTTTTATGAAAATAAAACGAGTACAGGGTTAGGTTGAGGCCAAAATGATCTGAATCTCATCACTGCGATGCGCAACTGAGCTTGAGGATGAAACTGTGAATTCTATCGCGGGTAGATGGGATGTCAGTGTGAGATGCACATGTCGACACCGACCCACACCCACACCATCTCTTTTTTTCGAAAAATTTTGGAAGATTTTCTCACGTCCTAATCGAAAAAAACCGAAAATCATCTTTGATTTTTTCTCAGAACTTGGGTTGAATAAAGTATCTCCACTATGAATCTATCACAGTAAGAGATTTTGTCAAATATTTTGTTTTTTCTTTGAAAGTTTATGCCTACAGCTAGTGACCCTTGGTGCCTTTAAAAAAAAATCTTCATGTTTTTATATAATAAAACACCTTTATTAAAAGGGCATAATTTGGGTGTGAGTTTATAGATACAAACTACAGTATACCCACACTTACCATAATTTATCGTTAGAACAATGTTATAGACATGAATTAGGAATACGCGTTGGTACTCAATAAAGGCCTTATTTGACTGACTTAGAACCTATTGCAGAGAATATTTAAAAAAAACTTTTTCAAGTTCTTCCTCCAATCGATTCTTATGTCGATAAACGTATTGAAAAAATGGTCTATATTCTAGATCGGACCCAAATGAAACAAGGATTGTCAGTTGTACCAGATTCAAACATAAAGCATCTGTCAGTTCTTGTTTCATTACCATCGTCAAGTCGTTTATATGAAATACTTGAACAAAAAATGAAAACAATTGGAAGTTCAGTCAAAATTATTTCAATTGAAATAATTAAAAATCCTTTGTTAGAAGGCATGTATGAAGCAGTGAAAAAAATTATTGCCAAGCAATGTAAAGGTTATGATCCGAATGAACGTGAATTATTTCATGGAGCTCATGGACTTGGAATTGATGGAATTAAAGAAAATGCTTTTGATGATCGATATTTTAATGCAAGCGGAGATTGGGGTAATTATTTTATTTCTTAAGAAATCTACACAAATTTTTCGATAGTCAGCTGACATGAAGGAACCTACTGATATGTCACTCTCCGTATTTGATTAAAGTTCTAAAAGAATATTCACTGTTAGTTTTTCTCTTTATCAGTTATCAAACTTTTAAATACATCTTTATAACAGCATAAAATTCAATACTAAACTATTAATCAGTTAGATCATTTGAATCCGTTTCAAAAACTTGGATATTCGCTTTAAGAGTATTTCAGTTGTATTTGATAGATAATTTCTTTTTGTTTTTCTGAGTATCGTCTAGATTCTTAGCTGTTCTGAGATGGATTTACATATATTTTCTTATAACACTTAGAACACATGAAAAGTTCTGACATCAGCGTTTTATACACTTGATCAATTAAGTGAACTTTGATGCAAACACTTAACTAATAATGATTTGGCACAAGACCGTGTAATGTAGTGGATCTCTTTTCTGTTAAATAATGAATAACATATGAATGAGTATGAGCTCGAGCATTGTCCTGAAGTGATGTCATATCTATTTTGCCGAATGAATTTCTTTCCTTGTCCGTTCATATAAATGCTATGTATGCAGTTTATGGAATATTCAACTTAATATAACTTTTTTCATATAAGGAGAGTTGTGAATGATTCCTTTGTATTTTAGTATGAAAGTGAAAAGTCTCAATAAGAATATAATCATAATTCGAAAATGAATTCATTTTTTTAATCATGTGTACAAACAGAAATGTATTACCTACCCTTCACTTGTTTTATATGACAGAACATCGGATTTTTTGTCATCATCCATGAATTTTATCATTATAGACAAGATATTTTTATTTTACTATTTATTCATGCCGAAAATGCTTCGATATTAATTGTTTTCTGAAATTGTTAATAGTATTGTCAGAACTTTTAATCAGTCCGTCGTATATTATGATCTGTGAAGAATAGAAGTTTAAATCTTGTTGAGTCTTGGAAAAAGCAGTATGAATTGAAAGTCCACTTAAGACTTGCATTAGGACAATGATGTTGGATCCTTTGAGAAAATTCATGGAGATCCGACTGAATTACGTCTTTCAATTAATTGGAAAAATTATTTCTATTACATAGGTAAGGGTGCATATTTTGCTGATGATCCTAGAAAATCTCACTGTTATACGATTCCTGATCCAAGAGATGGAACACGCGTTATTTATTACAGTAAAGTCTTATTAGGCATTGAATTAAAACAAGACTCAACTAATTCTAGCTTGGTACAGGCTCCATTAGGTTTTCATTCTGTTGTTGGAACATTGGGTGGATTTACACAATATATTGTTTATCGATATGGTCAAGCGTTGCCATGGATAAGAATTATTTACAAGGCTTGATCGTTATATGCAACACTTGAAAAGATTTTTTATGAGTTTTCCTTCTAAGTGAATAGTATATTTTAAAGACTTTTTTAAATAAAATACATGGTGTGATTTTGCTTGATCATAACTACTAACAATTCCTGTATCCATTTTAATCAACATCACTTAAGAGAGCATCCATGAGAGGACCGAGGATCGCTCCAGTATATGAGGCACTGGTCAAAATTTAATTTTTCGATTTTTTATGTGCATTCGAAAGACCATCACCTAAAACCACCAAGCCCAAATGTTTAGCTCATTTGGATGTACTATAGCAAAGTTAGCCTGGATCGACTTTCTAGAGCTACCAGCCGATTGTCAAAAAAATAATCAAAATTTTTTCAGAGATATTTACTGAGATTATACTTTAACCAGTCAAGAAATTTTTTCATACCAT